ATTGCTGAAATAAACATTTTCTGAATAGCATATCCGCTCCTTAAAGAATGCAGTGATAGAACAGTATTGGTAGTATTATTACTAAATAATAAAACTATTTTCAGATATTAATGTACATTGATTATGGAGGTTATAGGTTTGAGTCACTTCCATGGTAGAGGTTGTTTGGTCAATATATTAGCAACAACCTAATATACTGTATATTGATAAATAAACTAAATCAGTTTGGTTAGTTGTGTAGGGTGTGTTTAAAATATAGTGTTTAAACTATAGTATTTACTTTATTTTGACTGAAATGTGTAGTTGACACTTTCCTAATGAGTTAGAGTTCTTTGTAGTCTGTTTTCTGGAACACTTGAGTTCTTAAGTTCTTAGGATAAATGTTTAGAAAGACTCAAGTAAATAAAGATATACACTTAATATAATAAAATATGAATGCATTACTGAAAATTTTGTTTTTTCCCTTCTTGCATGTATGTACCAGATTCTAAACCTGAAAGAAGATACTCACTTACAGCAATTGTGATATTCGTTGCAACTTGCATTGCTGCTGGTGGGTGGGATATATTTTGGCATTCATCAATCCATGCTTCGGAAATTGATTATAAAGTTCTACAAACATTTAAAAACCAAATGAAAGAGCTCAGGAACACCTATCCAAGTCAAGATACAATAGTGTGGAACAGAATCCAAGGTACTTTCAAGAAACGTCTAAATTCTTCTCACCCTCATTTGGAACCAGCTACTTTATTACTCGCTGCTTCAAAAGAAGCTGAAGATGTGTTGAAGTGTTTAAGCAACCAGATTGCTGATGCTTTCTCATCTTCTCAAGGTGCGCTTACAATTAAAATTGATGGGGCCAGCACAAGAGCTCAAGATAGTGACGCGGTCAAACTTACTGTTGATAAAAAACTAAGCTCTGGTTTTGAGAATGGTAACAAAGCAGCGGTAGTCCATCGGTTTGACTCATTACCCGCAGGTTCCACCCTGATTTTTTACAAGTACTGTGATCATGAAAATGCAGCATTTAAAGATGTGGCTTTACTATTAACCGTTCTTCTGGGTGGGGAGTCCCTAAACAAGAGCTTTTCCTTGTTGGAAGTTGAGGAGAGAGTGAAAGATTTTCTCTGGGCTAAATTTACTAACTCAGACACACCAAAGTCTTATAACTACATGGACACAGACAAGTTGAGTGGCTTGTGGAGTCGCATAGCCCATCTAGTCTTACCTATATGGCCAGAAAATTCGTTCCCTCGAGAGAAATGCTTGCAGATGAAATAAGAAGAGGGAGCAAGAAGAAAACACATTGCAACACGATATGTATTGTATAAATCTGTGAATGTTTATATAGTGAGAAAATGGCAATTTACTAATCAGAATTACTAGATTATAGGTGATTCAATATCAGAATAAGATTTCTCCTTTATAAGGAAGCTGATAATCTATAAAGAACTTTTAGACCTTTAACACAATTCTAGTGGTTTATTGGAAATCAAGATTCTATATACTGAGGGGGGGAGAAATCTTGTTGTTCAAGCCCACCCAACTTTGTGTAATATGAATTTTTTTTAAAGCATCAAAATCCTTACTGTGATTGTGGGCAACAAGGTAAGAAATTATAGTACTAGATTCCGTCTTTCTGCTTGAAGTTTAATGGACTGCAAACTTGAAGTTGAGACCACGTTTTCCTATAGTCTAAGACTTAATTCTATCTTACTCCATTTCCAAAACTGCATTAAAAAAAATCTTGTAACTGTATTCTGTAAGTTTCTGCTTTGGCTACAAAATTATGTAAGATGGAAGCCTGTTGACTGATAGGCTGTTTTTCTCATTTGAAAACAGCCTATAAATATTATATGTATAGTTTCAAATAATTATCGTTGCCTAAATCCAAAAACACAAGCCTCTTCAGTTAGACTATCAGTACTAAACAACCAAAAGCTTCCTTCAGATTTATGAGAAATTTGAATTTTTTTATTTGAATTTTATTTGGTCAATGACCAGCAAACATTAAATAATAAAATGGGCTATATAAAACAGCGATAGGAAATGCAATCAGGATTGAGAAGGAGAGATAATTGCATTATATATTAACAACTATAAAAGAAATCAAATATGGTATACTCCATAAACATCTAATTACAATAATACCCCATTTATTTATCTGATTAAAGGGGGCGGGATTCCCTTGGTGCTCTCTGAACTTCCTTGTTTTCTTGCAGACGTTTCATTACCTTAACCAGGTGACATCAGTGCTGGGACTAGAGTACCAAGGACCCCTCATTTCAAATACAAATATTCTTTATTATGACTGATAAAAGTAATACAGGTAGTCCTCAACTTAACAACAGTTCATTTACTTACTGTTCAAAGTTACAGTGGCATTGAAAACAGGGGCATTCTTTTTCACACTTAATGACCATTGCAGCATCCCCATGGTCATGTGATCAAATTTTGGATGCTTGTCAACTGACCATATTTATGACAGTTGCAGTGTCCTGTGGTCACATGATCACCCATTGCGACCTCACAAGAAAGTCAATGGGGAAGCCAGATTCACTTAGCAACCGTGCTACAAATTTAACTACTGCAGTGATTCACTTAACAAATGTGGAAAGAAAAGGCATGAAATAGGGCAAATCACTTAGCAAATGTCTCACTCAGCAAGATAAATTTTGGGCTCCATTGTCATAAATTAAGGACTACCTTATAATGAAACTATACATTAAAATATGTGTTCTCTAAAAATTACCAAAAAATAACTAAGGAAAGTATTGATAAGAGTAAGGACCGTTAGTGCTTTCACTCGTTTTTCCTTTTTATCATTGCAGCAGCAGCACAAAATTTTGCTACTGCACAAGTGGTGCATGGATTCAAATACTGAAGAAGGTGGTTTGCAAAATAATTATTTGATTTCCCCTATTAGAGGGAGTATGTACATTGATGTCCCTGTAAAATGCAGCACAATATGACGTGATATATCTTCAACTTTCCCATTGTTACAGGTATATATTCACTCAGCTAGTGGGGTTTTATGCAAAGCAGAGAGGAAAACATGGAGTAAGGTCCAACAGAGATCTAGCACAGTCTTACAGCAGTCCAGCAATCCTCATGGCATGTACT